TAAATACAAATTTCAGAAGTGTATATTCATATTAATGACATGGATGCTTGACTTCTAATAAACTTGAGCTAAATTGAAACATGTATATTAGAACGAATGACATGAATGCATGTCTCTTTTTTTTATCATCAAACGGGCCTCTATTCATATCAAAAGATTCAGGATCATTACATCAAGCAAAAGGAAAATAAAACTGACACCAACTGAAACTTCAACAACTACGACTGTAACCCTGTGGTGAGACTTTGAGACGGTCACCCCTGAGAGAGCAACACAAATCGCTAACCATGTAGTGGGCTTGACACAGCCAAACCTATTCCCATAGATCCAACCATACCCAATGACATAAAGAGAGGCAAAAAAACTCAAACAAATTGTCAAAACCAACAACAAAAGTGGACACAAGAAAACAAATAACAAACAGATAAAAACAACAAGAAAAGCGTTCACGAACTCTAGCACCTCGTACATCCCATGGTGGTGGTTTAGGAGGAGGTCTTACCACCGGTACCATGCTAATTGATACTCTGTGACCTTTGTCTGCCAAAGTCCATGCATCAATCCTCCGTCCCTGCATAACCAAACTCATCCCTGCTTCATGCAACTAGAGTAAACGGATAGGCGGCGCCGATCTTCTCCAACGACGACAGCAATACATCATCCTCGAACCTTGACCACAACGCCGATCTCCTCGAGCCATGACAGCAAATCCGCCCTTCGAGTATGAAGCACAAACAACAGCAGCCGTCCTTCGATTAAAATCGAAAGAAATATTACTCAAAATGGGACTAAAAAAGTTTGAAAATTCCAAAATAGGACTTCCATGTTTTTATTCCCAAAATAGGACTAATTACTGTCATATTTTGGCAATACCAGACTTCAAAAATGGCAGTATTTTTCAAATTTGGCAGTAATAGTCCTATTTTGGGAATAATAACATGACAATCCTATTTTGGAATTTTCAAACTTTTTTAGTCCCATTTCGGGAACTTTCCCAAATCGAAAACGGAAATAGCGGCCGTCCTTCGATTAAAATCGAAGACGGAAAAAGCGGCCGTCCTTCGATTAAAATCGAAGACGGAAGAAAACTCCAAGCGGCCGAAGCTCTAGAGAGAAAACTTTTTTTAATACTTCGTATAAAGTGATTCCATGAATGCATGTCTCTAAATAAAGTTAATCATATATTTGAAGTTATGAATTATGATATGGATGAATGAATTTTTATTGTAGAAGTATTCGACCTTATAAACTGATATGAAGTATTTCAACGAAAAAATTAAAGCCTTTAACTTGCTAATGCTTGTAGGTGGCAACACGTAAACATTGCAGTTGATGTCCAGCTAAAATTAAAATAAATCACCACATGACTATGTAAAAACTACATAGTAAACATTGTAGAAGTATTTTACTCACATCTTAGCAAACTTTTTCTTTGAATCAGCTACTTAATCAATATGTACCTACTGTAAAAAAAAATCAATATGTACCTTATCTATAAATAAGTAAATAAATAAATAATACTCCCTATGTATTTTATTGTTTGCTACACTTTTTTGGATGTATTTAAAAATTTGTCACACTTCCTTTTTTGTAACTTTTTCCTTTAAAAATACTCAATTACCATTTTTCTACTTTTTATCTTTTCTCTCATACTTTTCCACCATCTCTACTACTTTTTTTACACTATTCATTACTCTTACTAATTTACCCTTAAATAAATTTCATGATTTTACATGAAAAATACGTGTTAATTAACACTTGTAATATATAATTTCCAATATTAATTTTTGTACTCCTTTCGGTCTCGTTGAAAAGCTCTCACCTTCCTTATTTGGGTGTCCCATTTAAAGGTTTTCATTATATTTAAGAAAATAATTTACTCTTTTTAATTACACGCTTACTCAAATTTCTCTTTCCAAATCATTACATGTCAAGTCTTAGAATTCTCCCTACTTATCTACGACTTTCACTTTATATGTTTACTTTTAAAAAAAAAAAATCCTATCTTTTTTACTCAAATTACTTTATTTAACTACTTGCCTAAAAAATCGTGTCATTTAGCATATTTTACTGTAATTTGTCAGTCTATCTATTATGGTCTGTTTAAAACTGGTCTGACCTGGTAAATGTCTGGTCTCTATGTATTTAAAACTATGGAAGTTACGTTTGGTTTGATCTGGTCTGTTTAAGTATTGTCCGGTCTAGTCTGTTTAAGTCTGGTCTGGGATTGAAAATAGTCCAAGAAAAAACATTCTTACTCACGGGAATCTTCCAACGGGACAAAGGGAGTATGTCAAATCTCTAAAATATTATCACTTTCAAATTGTGTTCATACAATCATACATATTACCTCTGTCCCAATAAATTCTTCCAAGTCAAACTTGGCTCGCAAATTTAGAAATTGGGAATAAGATGAAAAAGGTGAATGAATGCGAACCATATATTTTTTCCAAAAGTGGAAGTTGGAAGAATTTTATGGGACTGTCCAAAAAGAAAAATTGGAAGAATTCGAGGGAGTATTAAACTGGACAACCTAAATATTCATGTACTACAATTATTAATATATTCCACTATATATGGTAGAATGACCATGTTAATAGATCCGCTAATAGTAATAGTATTAAATAAACTAATGCATTGTGACCATACTGATCATCATCTTACACCTAAATTTATGATAGACACTACTTGCCATATAGAAAATTTTGTACATATCTAACATACATATTCTCTACATATAAAATTATGGACAGCATAAATATTCATAGAACTATTAATACCATCCACTATAAATGGTAGTATTACCATGTTTATACCATCCGTTGGTAGTTTTAAGTTTTTTCATCCGATCCGCCAATGAATATTTTGGTTAACAATACTTGCCAAGTATATTAGAGTCTATTAAATTCAACATAAGTCCCTCTCTATATATGACTACGCCCAAATCTTTGGTTTATTGGTTGGCAATTATGCCCTTCAAATGGGAATTTTACCTCCAAAAATTGTAGCAATTCTGTTACTTTATATTATATAAAGATGGATTATATAGACATTGCGAAAAAAAAGCGATTAGACGGTTAGACCATTCCAATACCGTATGCACTTCAAATTACTGGTAGACTGCCCAACCTTTTATCCTACCATATTGCAATATTCCTCCTTTTCCATAAACTCCAAAGAATAGTTATGAATCGGCCGCAGTTTGTCTCGCTCCTCCCTACTAAGTTTGCCTTGATCCAACTCGGATCCCCAAGCTGTCTGCCAAAATACCCAATGGTGTACCCGCTGCCCGCCACACCTCTTGTCCAATTGGACAAGTTTGGAAACCATTTTTGTTGATTCTCCGTAGATATGTGCACCCCCACGCTTCTTAAGATTTTACAAAGCAGGAAGTGTCCTGTCCAAAAGCTATCATAAAAACATTAACCTTCGACCGGATTTTAAAAGACCAGTTTGCCGTTGTCACGGACTCGGGACTCCACTAATAATTCATAACAACTCTTGATAGAAATTAGGCCATTTTTTCGCCCGCCTGCCACAAATTGCCCCCCCTTTCATATAAACTGATCAGAATGCTAATGATCATCTTACACTCCTCCCGTGGAAACAAAGATTGTACTCTCCTCACATTCGAGGCCTTACATAAGTTACATTCCTCATCTCTTAAAGATGTCACGTTCGTGTTAAGAATACAAACCGGTCTGCGTGATTGCACAACCCCCGAACCCGTCCTCCGCAATCGTCTATCCGCCCAAACCTGAGTATCTCTACCAATCCCCACCCTCCTTCGAATATTCACCCTCATAACCTGCCGAGTTTCTATAATACTTTGCCAAATATAAGAGGAATTATTTCCAACCCGTGCCTCCAAAAACGTTGAGTCCGGATAGTAATGTGCTCTGATAACCCGGCTCACCAAGCTCTTTGAATCTGTAATAATTCTCCAGGCATGTTCCGAGAGCATGACTAAATTAAACTCTCGCACCCATCTAAACCTCCAACTCCTCACCCACATTTCGTGGTTTACATAAACTCTCCCAACTTCTCCACTTGAGCCCCTTTTTTTTATATCAAAGTTGGTCCCTTCCCACCAATACTCATTCATAAGCTTTTCAATCTCCTCACAGAGCTCCCCTCGTAAAAGAAATACATTCATTGCATAACTAGGCATTTTCTTAATCACATTTGTTAAAAGCACTGCCCAACTAGTCCAAGACAATAATCGATTATTCCAGTTTTTAATGTAATTACTAACAATTCTATCACACAGATACCTCAAAACAATAGATTTGTTTCTCCCGATCAAAGTTGGTAACCCCAGATAGCTTGACTGACAACTATCTCCAACCATTCCCAAGATCTGATGAAATTAATCCTTAACAAGCTCCTCCATCATTGGGGCTGAAAATGATGCCAACTTTATTACTACCTCCATCCCATTAAGATTGTCTCATTTCTCTTTTTTGAGAAATCTCACTAATATTGTCTTATATCCTTGGTAAATTTTGTGTGGCTCTAATATACTTTATTCTTATTTAATTAATTCAATATCAATCGCATAAACTCACTTTTAATTCTAGTAATATTTCTTGTTGGACCCGACATATGTTCATAGGTCTCCATAATATTTGTAATAGTATCATTTTCGTTCCAAACTAGATGAATTATAATGAGGTTTTTTAAAAGTGCTCATAATTTTATGGAAATTTTCTTAAAATTACTTACTTATTCTCGAGAGTTCCTATCGTGTATCGACCGACCATAAGAGCATCTCCAATGCTATAATGTCCACGGTACACATGTGGCATGAGTGAGGGCCACATAATGCATTGATTCAGGAATACTTTAATTTAATAGGGAAAAAATCTAAAAAATGAGGATGCGGAGTTTCTTTACTTTTATATATGCACCAAATTGTTTTTAATAACTTCCCTATTATACTACTTCAAAAAAAAAAACTTTCCTATTTTACACAGCTATACGACATAAAATACAGAGAAGGAATATTTAAAAAAAAAACGTATATCCGCAGTGCGGCCTCCACTTGCACATATAGTGATTTCGCCCCTCCATGGCGCCTACACAGGTCTTTCTCTCAGTTAAAATCCCTCTCCAATTGAAATCAAACAGAGTTTTTCATCCTAGATTTAACCCCAACCGCTATCTAACCTATGATTATGCTCTTCTGGAATGGCGCTCGAGTGTAAGCACTTCAAGTTACCCACCAAAGACCGGTGCTTTAAGTACTACCACCAGGGCAAACCCTTTCCCCTCTGAAAAGAACAATTCAAGCCAAAGTCGAGATCTTTTTTATGAATTTCTCCGAAATACAGTAGTGCTGACGGCAACGATGATCGCTTTGTGTGGCGGCGGTAATAATTTCGCTCTAGCCGGCCCCGGTGATTGTTGCTATTTTCGGAAGAGCCCAATAAAAGAGGAAGAAATACTATCTCATTTTGAGTTGGATATGCATTTTAAAGACCCGGAATTAGATGCTCTCTTTGGTTCTTTGTTTTTGATCTGGCTTTCATTTGCGTCCTGTGTAGTCTATGTCTCATTGTTTCCGCCTCCTCCAGACAAAATCTACAGAGTTCAAGTATGTGGTTTTCTTCCCCTCACATTAATTGTTAGTTTATCAGAAATTTCGGTTAATGTTGTTTTCATTCTGGGCTTTCAATCGCATTTTTTGTTACGATGTGTAATCAGGTAGCAATGCGTGAAAAAGATGGAAGAATTCGAGGGCAACTTCAAAAAATTGCCATTAGACCATCTCGTTCCTCTTTAATCCGTTGATACTCTCCCAGCATCCTGTTTAATGATGTTGCTTTTTAAAATCATTTGAATCTTGTGTGATGTGAAAATCTAACCACATTATAGTATTATGTTTTTTAATTTCCAGTTTATCGGCGTCCAATCAGGTTTCGTGATAGGAGTGGCGATAGATGGATGGGATTAAAACAATTGCACGGTATATTTATCAGTTGTCCTAACTCCTAATGATAATATTTTGGTTTCATATGTGGCATTACTATCCCCCATGTATATGTATAACTAAAACTTGATTTGAGAAAACTAAAATGTCTTTTTGTCATCATCAAGCGTTACTGCGGTCACTCGCCTACTGACTACTGTTTTGTGAAAAATGGTGGTGTCCATGAGTAGTAATTGAGTTTACTGGTGAGTGGTGTGACACATGAAGACATTGAGATGGTGTATCTTCTAACTTGCCCATCAATATGTTCGTGGATTCGTTTACTACCTTCAACACTTGTCATGTATTCCTTAATCTGTACTAGTTTAAATACACAGACATATGTATATACTATATACATAGTATATAATACTCCGTAATACATATACTAGCAACTGACTCATGCGTTACACGGATGACAAATGGAATTAAATTAAATTCCGCACATCATATAGAGGTTTATAACCATGGTTGATTATATATAAAGATCTTTGGGATTAACTTTGAGATTAGTTATTGAGGGTTGTGTAGTATATTAGGGCAATTTTTATGTTCACATTGCAGATCAAAGTAAAGTAAAGCTCAAAGATATATATTTAGGTAGTAATAATATACTAATTTAATTATGAATTTTTATTGTTTGTTCGTAATATTAGTAACTTCATATTAGCCGGTTCTATCCAAATTCTTTGTTTTATTGTAAAATAATGAATTGAAAATAGTAAAAGAGTCGACTTATCTCTTTCTCAATTAAAAATAATAGCTTTTTCCCAATTTCTACGCAAATGTACAAATGGTAGTATTACAAAGTCTCACTTATTTTATTGGGAAATTAATTAGCTTTCTCATTTTAACCATGTTATTGTCATTATATACATTTTATGTATGTATGTGATTTCTTAATGTTGTTGTGCAACAATCTTTATATCCTGGATAAGTTTTCATTTTTACATAAAAAGAAACAAAAGTGCAGGTGTAACTGAGTTTCTTCTTGCAAACCTGGAGTCATGCATCTATGGTTATGCTTCTGTAAGTTTAACCTAATCCTATCAAAAATCGGTTTTTGTTGTGAAATTGACTTCCTTGGTTGCTCTTTTCTTGGTGAAAACAGCATGCAATTGGGATAATTTGTTTACTAATTATTTATTTTATACAAAAGAAAGAAGACATAAGATTCAAGAACATATAAGATGCCCTATTTATGTCACTGTTGTAGGTTCATCCGGAAGAGACAGGCATGCTGATGCTTGTCTCGGAAGAGCAGAAAAAGTTTGATGTCGGTCCTAGGTTTGGCTTATTTCCATTTTTATTGTAAAAATAATTTTAAACTGATAAGTAGGACAACTAAACCAGGAACCAGTTCTTTTGCCAACATAACTTCCTTCCGTTTTGTAAAGGTTTTATCTTGAAATGTCCTTATTGGATGTTTTTGAAGACGAGATCTCATTTCTTAAAAGACTTGTCGTTGCTTGCTTCAACTTCATTGTTGGAAGAAAGATATCCATTGTTGCAGAGACCACACAAAAGGAACAAAACAATGGCTATATAGTGGTAACTATATACTACCGTTGTCCCAAAATAATTGTTTTGTTTTCCTTTTTTAGATGGAGGAAGTTATGAGGAAGTATGTATTTGATTCATGTTTTTTCTCAAGCACAACTGTCGCAATGCTTACATGTTTTGTTTTGTTTTTGTTGGGGTTTAATGCACCAAACCCCCTGTGATATGGAAATTCGGCGCATTAGACCCCTGTGATTTAAAAAATGCACCAAACCCCCTTGTGTTTTAATTAATTATGCGCAAAATCCCTTCTATGAACAAATTCAATTGTCAAATACAAGAAAAATGATTAATATTTATGTATGATTTAGAGATTTTGACATATTTACTTGCATATTCAATTAGAATATTTAGAAAAATGATTTTCAAAGCATTAAATTTATTCATAAAAGGGGTTATGTGCATGATTAATTAAAACACAAGGGGGTTTGACGCATTTTTCAAATCACAAGGGGCTAATGCGCTAAATATCTATAACACGGGGGGTTTGGTGCATTACACCCGTTTTTGTTGGGTTCACTAATTTTTTTATATGGAACCAACCCTTCTTTTATTTGTTATTTATTGCCATGTTACATGAGAACTGTTCCAAAGAAACTACTCCCCCGGTCATAAATAAACTTAACTTTCATTTTTTAGCAGGTTCAAAATAAATTTCACACTTCTATTTTTGATAACTTTTTAATACAAAGTTACCCTTATACCCTTTCTTTATTACACTCACTTTCTCTCTCCCACTACACATTATCTACTTTGTGTAAGGGCATGATGCTAAAGTCAAAAGCAAAAATTTCAATTTGTTAAAAACCGTAAAGTCAAACTATGAAGTTTATTTAGGACCGGATGGAGTATTATTATTAATTATTCGGGAAAAAACATATTTTGAAACGTGACTTTTTCTTGAAGTGCATCCCTCTGGACAATAGGTGAAGGTTTGGTTATGTCTTGTGAGTTGCTTAGTCTACTGTTTTCATATTTAATATTCCCTCCTCCTGCTAAGATTATCTGATCTTAACTTTTCGGGCTGTTTCACTACGATTGTCTCACATCAAATTTGGTTTTAAACATTTTTTACTTTATTCTTACTTTATGAATTCAATATTAACCACATAAACTTATTTTTCTTAATAACCGCACCACCCTCTCTTGTCCCAATGTTAATAAAGAATATGATGTTTATAGTCAATTTGCATTTTATGATCTTCTATTAATTTGAATATGGTGGGCTCCATTCCTCCCATCTTATTTTCTCTTACTTTGAATTGTTTCAGGTAACAATATTAGTTTGTACTAATGCCCCCCTGGAGTTTTCCATTATGAATAACGGTGAAGACTTGAAGAAGAACTTGCAAACCCTAAATTCCTTTACCCAGTGCTGTAGAGTATGTATTAGATCTTTTATTAGTTGAACCTATTTTTTAACAAGTACATGTATTGTGAATGCCAATCTTATATGAGGTGCATTTTGATGTTTTACTGCAGAAAGTTGACATTTTGTGGGCGCCTCGATTGGTTAATGAATGGCTGACATTGGAAGAATTGCAAGAAAAGTGTCCCCATTTCATACCACTCTAAATAGGAATGCAAATGAGCTGAGTTCGAACTTCGCTATATTCGAGCGGGATAGATTAAAGCGGAGAGTTCGAGCTAGAACTCGAACGAGTTTTGTAATTTTGGATTCAGAAATTCTTCTTATACACGTATGTATAAGAATGGGTCAATCGAAAAGGTGTGTAAGAGTGTTTCAAAATTCTGAAAGATCGATTTCAAAATTCATGGTCATAATTTCATTAACTTATAAACACGTCTCATGCACAATTTTGAAATTCTTCTTATACTGTTATACACATGATCGAAAGATCGATTCTCCATAACTAGGATAACAATTGTTAATGGGTCCATCGAATTGAAGCTTCTTCTTGAAAGACGACGAGGCAGAAAGAGGAGATAAAAAAAAGATAGAGAAAGATGTTAAATTCCCACACCAGAAAGTTTGGAAGTAATAAATTCCTATCTGGTTGATCTTTTCCAAATATTTGATAACAACGTAGATCACTTATCAAACCATCTAATTTGATCTTGAATACATGACAAATGATGTCTGGGCGATCTTCAGTTTTGAGATTCCTCTATTGAAGAAAACGATTTATCTTTGGCCACTTTGGACTGCAAGTGAAGGTGATAAATAAATCTCGATATCCTGCCCATCTGCATATGGTCAGTGTCTTGATAATATTGAACAATATATTGTGCGCCTTCGTTGAAAGTAGGGGGTAATACAATTCTTTTCCCTTGCGTACATGGATCATTTTCACCACTCAAAAATACATCGTTCAAAACCTTGTACATTTCGGAACGAAGTTTTTTTGATGGATTCTGATGAATTTCAGTCTTGGTGCATAACCATCAACTATAAATTGTTGTCTATAAATTGTTGGAAGAGTCTTTGTTTTCAAAATAGATGAATGATTATCATCTCTTTCTTGCAACCGGTATGCCAAAAATTCTAGTAATTTTAACATTGGACATTTTCATTTCATTTTCTTATTATGAATGTTGTCATATATAGATATATCAACGGTCAAAGTCTAGTATCTTTAATTGAAAAGTCAAAGATAACTAACTAAAAAGGAACGGAGGGAGTATATTTCAAACTTTTTTTCATATTCTCTTTACATCATTATGTTACTTCGCTATTTGTTTCGTCTAGCCTTTTTTCTTGAAGTCCAAAAGAATATGTAGAAAGTGAGTAAAAATGGAAGGAGATGTATACAATTATAAAAGTACATGAAAATCACTTATGAGAATATGTAGTACATAAATAATTTTAGAGAAAGTGTTTTGTAAGTAAAGTTGATAGTGTTTTAGAATAAAAGTGATTATTATTGTCAGGAAAAAGGGTCAAATAGGCCCATGTACTATTATAAAACCGTCATATAGACCCATCTACTAAAAAAAGTGTCAAAGCCACACACTTACTATTTCAAAAGTGTCATACGAGTCCAATGACCTGTTAATGACTTGGGAATCCCGGTTAGCTGCTTATGTGGCCTGTTTTATGCCCAATCCCATTAATTTTTTCCACATCATCCTATCCTTACATCATTTAAACCATAAAAGGGGGCCATGCCATATTAATAACCCCCAGTCATCTTTGTCGCAAACCCTCCCTAGAAGCAACGCAGCTTTCCCACTCTTCATCATCTTCGACTCAAGATGTTGCAGCGTCGTTTACTTCGAACAGCAACGGTACTCCAACTCTGAACTATGAATTAAACCAAGTGTGTTTTGTTAATATGGTCTGAAGTCCCCCTTGTGTGTTGCAAGAGAAACCGGCCGAAAATTTTTGGATGTCAAAGATGGAAGGTATGCGAAGCTAAAACCAAAATTAATATATAACTTTCTGTTGTTGAGTCGATGTGTGATTAATTTTTAAAATTTATTGCTAAATTTAGGGCAGAGCACGGGTCGGGTTCGGGCGGGTCGGGTTCAAAAATGGTAAACCCGTTCGGGTATCGAATTGATAATTTCAAACCCCACCTGATCAAAAAATTTATCGGGTTTTTCGGGTTGAAGAAGTTCGGGTTTCGGTCGGGTTGGTTCGGTTTTCGGGTCCATTCGGATTTTAATTTATTATTGTTGAAATTGTGATAAATAAAATGTTTATTGGTAAAAATACCATTCAAAGTTATACTAGTATAACATTCAAAGTAATAGTTGTATAAATACGGTAATCGACATATTTGAACATTTAAAATAATATACAGTGATTGGCATATTTGATATTGTGATAAATAAAATGATAATTGGTCAAATTATCATTCAAAATCATAACAATACAACATTCAAAGTTATAGTTTTACAAATACGGCAATTGGAATATTTGATTATGCATAATTTGGTAATTGACATACAATAATTGAGATATTTGAACATGCATAATAATTCAAAGTAGTATATACACTACCCTAGTTCGGGTTTTCGGGCGGGTCGGGTAGCATAATTGGTAACCCTACACGCTACCCGCTTAACTCTCGGGTTGCAAAAATCGGATCGGGTTTGGGTCATTCGGGTCGGGTTATCCGACCCAAAAAATAAAATCGGATATATCCGATCGGGTCAATCGGGTAGGGTCGGGTTTGCTCTCCCCTAGCTAAATTCGTGACATTATAGCTCTTTTTGGGCGGACAGTTTGTTAGGGAGCAGGGGTTGAAATCTTTATCCTAATTATTTATACACATCATTTCAAAATTGTACTCTTCTTTTGACCCCTTATTCTGATTTTCGTTACACTTTTTTTGAAATTATTGCAGCCCGGAGGCGGAGGTTGTGGATTATTTGCTTGGAAAGGGGAAAATGAAATTGGACAAGTAGGAAATCCAAATTTCAGCTTGCAGAAGGTCAAAGTAGTTCTATACTGTATATGATTTATGAGAGCAAATAATTCACATTCGCGGTGAAGTTTCCCATGTTAAAGCAGTCCGACATTGTGAGATTGAAGAAAATAAGATATTTAGATACTCTATAGGAGTTGTGATAATTGTAGTTGTAGCAATGTGTATCTTCATGAGAGGAGTACAAAGATGGAACTAATGACGTTGTAATGTTGTTGTTAGTCTTGCCTTGTACGAATGATGACAATATTTGAATAAAGGATATTTATTAAATTTATGTTATGTGTTCAATGATTTTACTTTGTTTAATTAGTTCTGCAACCACATGAAATGAGTACAAAGATAGATGGCTTGATGTTTACTTTTTTTTTTTAGTTCTGCAGTTAGTTTCTTGGTGACTGTATTGATTGGGTTTGAAGTATATTTAGTGGACTGACTTATTTGTGATGAATTAGTTGGGTGCCGGTCCCTTGCCATTCTTTGTGATGTACTGTTTTCAAAAAATGGATAGAAGTTCTTAGATTGACATTATATTCCAATGACTACAAAGATGGAACTAAGTTGGTAATCTGTAGCCATAATGGGGTAGCAAACTGCATTATATCAGACTGCAGCTACTATTTACAACTTCAAATTTACGAGACGGGTGTAGCAAGAAGTTCCTGAACTCAAATGTTTCAACAAATGCATTGCATTACATTCCAGAATAGGGGGAATACTTAGCCATGATCAGTACACATTTAACTATCCAAACATAACATGACAAAAGGGATATTTTAACCCATAATGAGTACACATCTAAATAAACAAGCATCACTTAAAACATTACATGACAAAAGGGGTATTTATACCCATGTTCAGTAAACATGACATTACATAACAAAAGGGATTGCATCCATTCACAGAATCCATATGGTGCAGCCAGTCTTTAGTTTTACTTTGAAGAACAAAACAGTCTTGGTTCACAGAACACATGGCATTCACTTTGCATCACTTCCTTGTTCTTTGTAGTGTCCACTCACAGTACTTGTTCAGTTGTTTGTCCCGGCTACAAAAAAAAACATTTAATTACATATAAGCCACTTCACATACTAAATGAACTCACCTAATGTGATAATGTAAATTCTTACATCTAAAACAGTTTCTCCAATCTCAGGTTCAGTGTTTATGCCCTTGTGTGTTCTCCTCTTCTTTTGGGGTCTATCATGACCTTCTTTTCTCTGTGTTTTACTTCTTCTTTTAGAGGGTTTGGCAGAGGCACTCTGGGTATCTGTGGACTTGTTCGGACACTTAGCTTTATTATGGCCCGGTTGCTTGGATGTAGAACATGTCATGACTCTCCCCTTGCGTGAAACCGTAGTCCTACCCTTGGCAGATGATGATCCTTCATGCATTTCACGGATCCTTTTTTCCTTAGGCCTGCCTGTTAGCTTCTTTGGAATGGGGGGAGCAATGTCATTGTTTTGAGTCTTTTGCCACAACATCTCCCCATTCATAGGTTCTAGATGATAGGAGTAGATCCTCTGATATGTGTTCTTCGAGTAGCAATCGTCAACATAATTTTCCGGGTCCCCACCCTTGTCAAATATAGCACAAACTGCATGGGGACAAGGAATTCCTGTTAAATCCCATGATCTACACGAGCAGGTTCTTTGCTCCAATCTGACTTTATACTGATGCCTCCCTCGCTTCACCTCGTAACCATCATCACCATTAAATACTACCTATTTAGTAAAAAAATCATCAAAGCAAAGTAGTTATATAACAACTTCGTAGTTAGATGATAAAAATTAGGGAACCTGAAACTATAATTACTACTAACCTTCCAGCCCATACTCTGAATTATATTTTCATTTAGCTTCTTCAATAAACGCGGGCCATGGTTACCAGGCCATCGGGAACCAAACTTGACTTTCTTAGCAATGCGCTCCGTAGTGCCAACTCTAATTGCTTCAAGCATAGGGATAATCGGTTTAGACCTTGCTTTGACGATTGTGTTGTTAAAGCACTCCGATAAATTGTTATCCAGAATATCGCACTTCACATCAACTCTAAAAAAAGCTTTACACCATTGTCGAGTGTCATACAGTTCCAAATCCGCCTTAGCTGCACTGTCTATCTTCTCCAACACTTTCATTTCTTCATGAAAATGTGCTTCTGTGGTACACCTAGCACAAATCCAAAAATGCTTCTTCAAAATCTTCCCCTTGTGCTTTTTGCTCCAATTGGCATGTATATGCCTACAACAATTCCGATGCTCGGCATTAGGGAATAACTCCTTTATCACATTTACTAAGCCCTGCAATTGATCAGGACATAATGTTATATCTATATAAACAAACTGTTATAGTCATATACAAATAAACAATTGCAAACATATATATTTTTAAAAGAAGAAAATGAGTTTTT